TACTTACTTTACAGCTTCTCTTTGGCATTCCTGAACTACCAGCATCACTACTCCTGTGCTTTGGGGCCATTATTAAGTAAAATAAGGGTTACTTGAACACAAGCACTGCAATACCTCCACAGCTGATCTGATAACTGACACAGCTACTAAGTGACTAGCTGGCGGGAAGCATACAGTATAGCATGAATGGGCTGGACAAAGGGACGATTCACATCCTGGGCAGGGTGGGCTAGGATGAAATGGGATGGCAAGATTTCATCATGCTGCTCAGAATGATGTGCAATGTAAAACTTATGAATTACTTCTGGAATTTTCCATTTAATATTTTCAGACCACAGTTGACCATGGGTAACCCAGAATAAGAGGGGACTACTGTGTATTTAATGAAACAAACACAAGTGTTGGCTTCAAGGTCAAAGAATATTTGGGTTTTAAAACCTTAGTCCTAATCAGTGACTTGAACAATTTCTGAGCGTTCATTCTCTAGTATGTAAAAATAAAATACTAGGGAGATTCAAGATGGTGGCGGATTGAGTGGAAGCTGCACTGACACTCTCCCAGGACCAAACTGGAATTACAACTAAAATATAGGAAAAACACCCTAAATAATCAACTGCAACTGAAGACTAGCTGGAGAGCACCCTCACAACCAAGGATGAAAAGTGGAGACCACATAGAGACTGGTAGGAAGTACAGAGGCATGAGAGGGCCGGCTGGGCTCCCACAGGTAGCAGCTGAAGGTCCGGAGGGAGATCTCAGCTGTGGGGGTTCCCACTGAGGACTCTGGGGCCTAAACCCCAAGCTGGGCTCCCCAGCCCAGAGCACCAGAACCGAGAAAGGTGCCCACATAACATCTGGCTGTGAAAAGCAGATGGGTTTTTGTCTGCCAGAGAGAGATGGCTGGAAATGCAGGCACCCTCTTAGAGAGCAAACACAGTTTCATGTGCAGCCACTCACCTTGGGCTCTGGCGAAGAAAAGGCAGAGTGGACTGGAGCTGTGTGAGGAGAATCCAGGGGGCTGGCTGGGGGAATAGATCTCAGAGGGCACCCCTCTGGATTCCTGTGCTGAGTCATTCCCCCATATGGCAGAGGACTTCTTTCTCAGACATTTACCTTTCAAGCAGCTTTTGCCTGGGGAGGAAGCAATTGCCCCATCCTGCTGGAAAACCTCTGGCCCTACCCCATGGAGTTTCTACAAACTGAGGCTCATTAGGAAATAGCCTCTGGGTGCTTTGAGTCTTTGCCTGATTTGCTTCTGGAACCGGGCCTTGGAAAAGCAGAACTTGGTGCACATCTTGGTCCTGTCCAAACACACCCAGCCCCAGCAGACGAAATCACAGCTGTGGAGGAAAGTTTCAAACAGGGTACTCAAGGCCATTCACAAACAGCCTCTGACATTGCCCTGCACCAGAGACCATCTAAAAGACTGGGAGTCCTAGCAGATCTACCTAATACATAGAAACAAACCCAAACAGGCAGCCAAAAAGGAAGACAGAAAAACAAGCCGCAAATGAAAGAACAAAAGAATTCTCCAGAAGAGCTAAATTAAATGGAGATAAGCAATCTATCAGATATAGAGTTCAGAATACTGATCATAAAGATGCTCAACAGCATGAAAAAAGATATAGAAACTATCAAGGAAATTAAGAATGACATAGTAGAAATTAAAAAGACAATGGAAGAAATGAACAGCAGATTTAGGGGAAGCTGAGGAGTAAATCAGCAGATGAAAAGACAGGGTAGAAAAAAATCAATCAGAGAACCAAAAAGAAAAAACAATTAAAAAACAGGACAGTCTAAGGAAGCTGTGGGACAACATGAAATGTAACAATAGTTGCATCACAGGAGTGCCAGAAGAGGCTGAAAGCCAGCATGGGTTAGGGAACCTGTTTGAAGAAATAATGGCAGAAAACTTCCCTAACCGGGTGAAGGAAAAAGTCACACAAATTCAAGAGGCACAGAGAGTCCCAAGCAAGAAGAGCCCAAAGAGGCCCATGTCCAGACACATCATGATTAAAATGCCAAAAATCCAAGACAAAGAGAATCTTAAAGGCAGCAAGAGAAAAGCTAGCTGTTACCTACAAAGGAGCTCCCATAAGGCTGTCAGCTGATTTATCATCAGAAAGTCCACAGGCCAGAAGGGAATGGCATGAAGTATTAAAAGATAATGCAAAACAAGTACCTGAAACCAAGAATATTCTATCCAGCAAGGCTATCATTCAAAATAGATGGTGAAAGAGCTTTCCAGACAAAAAAAAAGGCTAAAGGACTTTATCACCACCACACTAGCATTGCAAGAAATGTTAAAGGTACTACTGTAATAAGTTGAAATAGAATAAGAAACATAGGCATAAAGAAATAAAATGGAAATAGGTAAGTACCTATCAATAATAACCTTAAATGTAAATAGATTAAATGTCTCAATCAAAAGACATAGATAGGGTGGCTGAAAGGATAAGAAAACAAGTCCCAAGTGTATGCTGTCTACAAGAGACCCACCTGAGAACAAAAGACTCACAGAGACTGGAAAAAAACCCAAAAACTTCTGGAGGACTTTAAAGGAGAGATCGACAGCAACAGTCATAGTAGGGGACTTTAACACCCCACTGACTTTACTGCATAGATCTCCCAGATAAAAAACAAGGAAACAGTGACTCTAAATTACACACTAGATCAGATGGATTTCATTGACATTTACAGAACATTCCACTCCAAAGCTGCAGAACAGGCATTCTCCTCAAGTGCACGTGGGGCATTCTCAAAGAGAGACCACATGTTAGGACACAAAGCAAGTCTCTACAAGTTCAAGAAGACTGAAATCATATCAAGCATCTTCTTGGACACTTACACAATGGAATACTATGCAGCTGTAAAAATGAAGGATCCCTTACCCTTTGAGACAGCATGGTGGGACCTAGAGAATATTATGCGAAGTGAAATAAGCCAGTCAGAGAAAGACAAGTGTCATATGATCTTACTCATATGTGGAATCTAATGAAGAAAATAAACTGATGAACAAAATAGATCCAGAGACATAGAAGCATGGGACAGGGAAGGCAGGGGAGAGTGGGTGGGGAGAGATTAACATAAGAATGTATATGCATATATGCATAACCCATGGACACAGACAATAGTGGGGTGAAAGCCTGCGGGGAGGGGTACAGGATGGAGGGGATCAATGGGGTAAAAAGGGTGACATTTGTAATACTTTCAACAATAAAGGTAAATAAATAAAAAGTAAAATATTAACTTCTAGGGTTGTAAACATTATAAAACATAATGTCTAACAAATTTTAAATGTTAACCTCCAAATATCTTCAATATTTCTCTAAGAATGTGTTCATTATGGGAAAATTGATAGCAAAAATAAACTAATAGTCAAGGTTCATGGTCAAACATAACTATTTATTTATTTTTGTAATAAACATTCAGTTTCTTTCTTTAAAAAAACCTAAAATTTAAATATTTCTTCTCATCCCATCACATACAAGTCTGTATACATTATTTACATCTCTCAATTAAAACATGTTACAGATTTTCTGACATTCAGTATCTTCTTTTAAAATAAAAATGATAGAGCAGTTAAACTTTGATCAATAATAACTTCAATTTGAGTAATCATGACACAGTTTACAACATAGCGCCCATGTTACATTTCATATTTTAGACCATTTTTCCCCTTCCAGCTACTTTAATAGACAGAGAAATTGTCTATCTCCAGTAGAACAGGATCCCTGCCTTTACACATTCTCTGCAATACTTGTACACTGTGAATGCTGCCCCTATGCTTCCATTATATGGCACTGGCAATATTCTTCTGCCTTTGTCGCCATAAATAATTCCTATTCACTTTTAAGTGTTCCCATGTATACTGTATTCTCTCTCAACCTAGATTTCATGGCACTGTTTCCAGATAATTTTAAGTAATAACGTATAAGAAAAGTTCAACCAGAACAAAAGTTTAAGTGTTCTCCCATAAGATTAGTGCCCTCAGCACTCTAGTTATGCATTTACAAAAATAACAAATACAATTTAGTGGCTTTAAAAAACTATTTCCCCTAAAAATAGTTATCTCAGCAAAACAATTTAAGGAGAAAAGTGTTCTTAAAATGACAGTGTACTAATCTATTTTACAACCTGCAGAATTAAATATTTCAGAAACAAAGTAAAAAGGAAAACATGTGCAAACCAGTAAGAAACACCCACACATAAAAATAATAATATATAAAAGAGAAATTAAATAATAACAAAAATGTTTAATTTTATCACTAATGATCTCAGCTTGGGTGACATATTTAAAGAAAGCTGTCAACCAAAAAAAACCAAAAACGCCTATGTAAGTAGCATCTTTCAACACTTTAGCTGAAACCTATGTATTGACAGCAAGTACCTCAGAAGCACTAACAATGAGGACCTGTACAATTGACCTGTTTCGTTTTCCAAGTGGGTGTGTTTTGGGGGGGCATGGGAGGTATGGAACATCAATAGCAGTAAGGAAGTAATTTACCTCCAAGGAGAAGGGGATGACAGCTGGCCGGTGACTTCACTATCTATCCTTGAGAACTGTAATCCAAAGTTATCAATGTACAGTATTATATGTAGAAAAAGAAATTTGTATCACACTAGCAAAATTGAGAGTACTCAATATTTTAATTTGTATTTTGTCTCCTTTGTCAAAATTTATGTATCAGTTCAGCTACAAGTAGCAGACATGGAACACAGTTTTATACCTTCAAAATGATTAGCTCGTTAGAAAAGCCCCAGAAATCCAAACTGTCTGCAGTCAGAATTGTTATAGCTTAGAATTAAACTTTTCCATTAAATCTTGAGATAGTTTTACCTCTAAACATTTATCTCATACACCATTAAACTGACAGCTGAACAACCGTAATGCCTATGGTGAATCTTTACATTATGATAAAACTCTAATATTTATTTAAGGAATGGCCCTTAAAATATAGATCTAGAATAGCATTTCCAAGAACTTATATATTCTTTAATATCCCAGATAAGTTTCAAAATAAGTCAAGTTTTCCTCTTGGTATGCAGACACATTTTCAAATTACAAATAGACTTCTGGTCCCATATCTTTTAAAAAGACATTCACAATTTTAAAGTTATAAGTGATATATGAAATGGTTACGCAATTTTAAATATTTTATCTGTAATATGTAGGCTTAAAACTCAGCCTAATTAATATATAAAATTTATTCAAATTTCTTTGTAAAATGATCTCCAGTCTTTAAATCCAAATTGTTCATCTGAGTGAAAATGTTTTCTTTAAAAAAAGGGATGGAGGTAAAGGCTGTTGTTTCCTTAAGCTACTTCTACCTTAAATGCTGGATCCATTTTTTTCTTACTATCCCTTCAATCAAAACTATCTTACAGTAGCCAAGACTGAATTCAAGAGTTATCAGGGAAAGAAACAAAAAATAGAAAACAAGATAAAGACTTTGATTTTTTTTAATCATTATATTTAACTGTAAGATAATTAAATTAAAAAAAATAAATCCTATACATCCAAATGATACTGTCTACTTCAAAGCAGTGATATCAGGAAACAATTCCTTTATTAAATGATGCTACCTATACTCAAAACACTCTCTCTTCTGCAAATTCAGAGCCTATGGCACATTATTTTGAATTTCCCTAATAGTTCTAAGAAAACAGCAAAGCGGAATTGATTTGGTGAATGAGATAGGTCACATTAAGTTGCCAAAAAGAGTTTTTGGTACAACTAAAACGATGAAATAGATTCTCTTGCATAGTCATACACTGATTCTCAAGGCTTCTTTGAAAGCATTCCAAAAACTTTACATCTTTGAGCATAGACGGAATAAGTAGTGCCCCCAAAGGAACCACCCTGAAGACCAACTCTCATTTGGATGTTTAAGGTATAACATATTTATTTTAAAAGAAAGTCTTACAACTTAGTAATTGCATCTCACATATTTTACCATTTCAGTGTTATCAAAACCTCTCTCAGAGAGGGTGTAGGCAAAGGTATAAAAGAAATCTATCATTTCACTATTTTCCCATAAGCAAGGAAAATACTAATGCATAAAATGGAGTCTGGTGATTACATGTAAAATATAAATATCCACATCATCTGTACTTCCTGAATATAAGCAATTGTAGTGCTTTATCTTTCCTGATAAAACAGGCAGTGACTCAGTCTGAGATATATTATACACTAAACATGTTGTCTTCTACCAAATACATTTTATGCTGATTGTTTAGAATTTACAAATGACAAAGGTAAAAAGCGAACGCAATCTAAAGTCTTTCAATTTAAGGTAAACTGACCTCCAAAGCTTCTACCACCTAACTAACAAATGCTTACTGTTTTAGTGCAGTTTAATGCAATGGGTTTTATAGGAAACAGAATAATCAAGTCAGAAAATGAAAGCCAGTAGCACCACCTACTGTTCACTAAAAGATTTTCACACTTTCTATTATTAAGTTCTCTCCAACACCATTACTCCATCATTTAAAATAATTCCTAAAACTTGTTTCATATCAACACTTAACCAAAGCATTGTGAAAATAATACTATGTTAACTTACTATTTTATATTTTATGGTTTTATCAGTAGATAAGAAAACCAACTTCTGTTTTACATTTCCGTATAAAAAAGGGGGGGGGATCTTTTATCGTGGTTACTTATAAATTTAATAAAGAGATCTGAAAAGAACCCAATAGACATTTACAAGCAAGCTCTGCCGCAAAGCCATGATTTTACCCTTATTTTATAAAGAGCATCTCATTAATGCTCATGGGAACCAACCAAAATCAAAGCAACTTTTATTAAATCAGTTATTTCTGGATTGCTATGGTGAATGTTTCCATACTTGTTGCCATGTAACACGGTGTACAATGCCAGGCATTTCCCTGGGGGAACTTCTCTACTTTGTTACCATATATACACATACATAACTCCTTACTTCCCAATAACTGTTGAAAGAAATACTCAGAAGCAGGCACCTGAGATTCTGGCACAGCAAGGACAAACTCTTATATACATACAGTGGGAAAGTAGGTCCTACTACTAAACATTAATTTATAGAAACATTTTTCCATTTTTACAGTGTACTACTGTATAAGGCTTAAAAGAGCAAGAACAATTTTTCACTATTCTCTCTACACTTGGCTGCTGCAACCCCTTTGTTACTAGGTTGATATGAGACAAATGCAGTATGGAAGACTGAGTAATCATGTGCTTCATTTTCCTAAATAGACAGGACCTCAAATCACTTGATGCCAAATTTTATTTCTGAATCAACCCATAATGGCTGATATTACATATCTGGACACTAAAAGATTTGTTTTAAGGAAATCAGCTAGTTCTCACTGCAGTTTATAACTAAGCATTACCAATGACTCTCCTGTTACTTCTACTGTTGGTACTTGGAGAATGATCGCTATAAATGAAATGGAGAAAAAGGCAGTTCCCAGTGATCATAATTGTAATGGCATTAAATGGTATCACTGCTCTACTTGTTAACAGCAAAAACAAACTGATTTCATTTTAGATTCTTTTCTAAGTAATTTTAGTCTATACAATTTCAGAGCAAGATTTCTATTCTACAAGGAAAATGATATATATATTTCTAACTGAAGAAACAGATTTACCGGAAATGACAAATTTTAAACTAAGTCTGAAAAGAATATATCTCAGGAATAAAACTGAAGTAAAAATGTTAACATTTATTTTAAAAACGAATTTTCAGAACTTATTATGGGAGTAATTCACTAGAAAGTCAGGGAAAATAAAATTTAAAAAGTTAACCTCTGAATTAGCAGTTGTTTGATATCACTGCAAAGAAAAATATTTCCTTTCACAGTGGAAAATCAGAAGTCAGAATGCTTCAAATTGGATCTATGATAAGCAAAGAATGTACTGTATCATTTAAAAATGACAGGCAAACACCAGCTCCATTCACTGAATGGAAATGCTGGAAAGTGGTCAATTTCCCCAAACAGTCCTTGAATTCCATATTTAATATCTATACCTAAAATTAATAATTTATTTTTAACTTCGCATGGAAGTTGAACCCTAAAAAGAAGTCTCTAAGACTCTGCTTACAAGAACTTGATTAAAATCTTCATGCTATTCTATTCAAGGGTTTAAAGACAGGGCCTTCTTCAACTTGACTCCCCATACTGAATTCCATTCCTAACTCGCCAAACTAACTCCCCACAACAGAACACACACTATCACCACTTCTTCAAACTAGAAGGGGATTCTGCAAACTTATGGCTCATTTGGCAATTGCTAAGAAACCTCACAGTTTAGCATCACCTCTGAAGATGGCAAACCAGTACATAACCTGAATATTTACACTTACAGTGCAGTTAACATGTAGAAAGAAGCCAAAATGCAATAGGTATTGCATTTCAAAATCCTCAAGTTTCAATATCACAGATATCAAGAGATGGGAAAGACCTGCTTGTAGAACTTTAAGAATTTGTTGAACAGAATTACCATCAATATGAAAAATAATTAAGAAATACTAATTTTTTATGTTCTACAGGCACACCTTTACAAATTGTGTTTAATGTAGTAAAAGCTGGAGATCATCAATTTAGATAAACTATGGCTTTTGTCATAGATATTTTAAAACATGCATCAGTAAGTGCCGTGGGTAGTAATTCTAATATTGTTTCAAGCCCTGTTTGGTTCTATGTCTGTGCTTTGCACCTCAGAAGTGAGCCTGCCAAGGCACTTAAAAACATGTCTTCTGGGAACTTCAAAAATCGGCCACAATTTACACAACACAGAACCCCATTCATCAGCAGTCCAATCAATAAGCATTTTCTTTCAACACACAATATTATCAAAAATTCCACAAGTAACCAAAACCAAGTTGGAAAAAACAAAAAATCATATGCTACTAAGACAAAATTTACCCCTATCAAATGTATAAAGAATCGTTCTTGGCTACCTCTAGCAACAGAATATGGTTTCATTTATTGAGAATAAAGAAAAAAGAACCCAAAGAAGTCCCCCAAACCTAACATAAAAACAACCGAGATAAAAATAAAATACAACAAAATCAAAATACACCGCACACAACTTCATGAGGAACAATCTGCACAGTTCTGCATCCCTTATCTGTCCTTTGAGGTGAGTTTTTCAATCAGTTCTTGGAGTGGTGCAAGTTCTCTTCTATCAACCAGGTTGAATTCCTATGCATGATAAAGAAAGGCAGAAGAAATAGTATTATTTACATCTCACTCCAAAGCAGATTTCTATTAATACGTGTTGGAAATTAGCTTTTAAAGTAAATAAAAGTCAAATCTTTTTATTTTTTTAAGTTTCTATTCCCTTGCTGTCTTAGGCAAATCATTTAACCACTTCTGATACTGTTTTACATATGTAATAATATTAGGACAAATCCTCCTACCTCATAAAGTTATTGTGGGGACTAAGTGTGATACTGTAAGTTAACCACTTCAAGTAATCCCTGGCACAAAGTAAACACCCAACAATGGGAACTGCTGCTCTCTGTTGAAAGAAATAACTTGGGCACCATTTAGATATAGTCAACCAAGTAGGGATCAAAATATCTAACATCTCAGGCAAATTTCAGAGTAAAAGAATTAATTTATGTCATGAACTAACACATCTGCAAGCTATCATGAGATGTGTTATTCTGAAGTTCAAGTCTGAATATATTTCCCCTGAACTATAAAAAATAGAGGCTGTCTATACTTCTGACCTTATGCCATGGCAGGGTATTCTGAACTCCCAATTTCATTCATTTATTAACAACCATCATGTGCCAAGCACTGCAGTTAGTACTGGAGAGAAGTATTAGGGGGCATTTAATAGCAAGCCTACCACTAAGACGTGCGGGGTCTGGACAAAGAACACAAAATAGATATATGTTGTACAACTAACTTACTAAATTTTACATACCCTAGTGTACTGTTAAATAAAGCATGTTCTGTTTTCCTACCTTGACAAAATATACCTTAATAGTGACCAGGAGAGCAAATTCAAACTTAGAATTCTCAAGACTCCTCAGAATTCTGCACTGGAAAGGAGTGACATGAGGAGAGCCAGTCCCTGACCCTCAGCAAACTTTGCTGATCTCCCAACCCCCAGCCCTATCCTGCTTTTCAAGGGGCTTCATATGCATGAGTGTGAACACCCTGTCTGGCTTATACAGGCAATGCCACACACACTCACCAACAGCTGCCATTTGGCTACCCCTTAGGTCTAGAGGTATATATATCAGAGATATGACCTTCCCTCAAAAGAACAGACCCAAGGGAAAGGTCCATGCAGACCCTGGAAATACACTTGGAACCATGTGGACAGGGAATTCTGAGGTAGAAGCATACACCAGAAGAGATCTGGGTAGGTATACTGTTCACCTTGTGGATTCCTCACTCTGTGCGGAGGAGTACAACTGGAGAAGGGCCAGGGCAGGATTTTCTAAATTGTGAGGCCAAGGGCTTGATCAAGGTCTGATGCTGTATAATGGACCTACCTTTAAGAAGGTCAGTGTCCTGAGATATAAATAAGCTCAGATGTGGTAAATACCATGTATCTATCCCCTACTGTTTGCTAAGAGCTAGGAGATACAGTGTACTTTAAGATCATACAGGAAGGTAAAACTAACCCTTCTGGTGGGAGAATACCCTCTCCTAAACCACTGAAACCTGAACTTCGGCAATTATGCCTGCCTAAACCAAAGCTCAAGTACAAACTTTAGGATAGCATTTTCTTTGCTTCTATGGGTATCTGTAGATGAAGTACCATAGTAAAGTAATTGTTATAGGTAAAATTGAGACACAAAATGTATGCCTTCAGTGTGAGAAGTGAGTATAGAGGGAAAACACACACATCCTTCTTCAATGGAGATGCATCATTGGGAAGGCATTTATAAATATATGCCCAAAGATATACAAAAACACCACTGATCCAAGCCTTGGACTTCTCCTGCCTACTCTAAACCCATCTCAATCTCCACCAAAGAAAGGCTGGACAGCCTATCTTTTCCACCTATTTGTCACTCCCAGCTGGTAGATCTCTAACTGTATAGCAGGGTGACACTATCTTCACTCCTCTTAATCTCACCTCTAAGGCCAGGTCTCTGAGAAGGAAAAGGAGGCCAGCTAAAGAATCAGACGGAAGACTAGTGGGCCTCCTGGAGCAGCAGCACTCTCTGGGGCAGTTTTCTCCCTCTGGACATAATGGACAGTATCCAACTTAAAAATTATTCAGAATGCTTTAAAAAAGGGGGGGAGTATGATATTCAAAGCCCATTTCCCGGACGAAGTAGGCTACAAAAGTTCCAAGGCAGCCAGGATCTGAGGGTTAAGAAGAGTAGGAGGAGTGCTAAAAAGCTAAGAGATCAAGTTCATCTATCGGTCTGCCAAACTAGCCAAGTTCCTTGTTCAGCCCTCCACATTAGCCGTTAACTGAAGCAAATCCAAGGAAGAATCCGCCGACCATCTTATTCAGACTTGCATGTCATCGCCTGGAGATGAATGGAACTCAGAAATGAAAGCCCAGTCCTCACCACCTAGGCAAGCACAGGAGGAAGAAGACTAGAGGCACAGGGCAAATTTTATCCTACAATATGCATGCAGTATCACCTCGGAACTCTGTGTAGCTGCTTTCACTCAACAAAAAAGGCCTCCTAATCCAACTTACTTGGACAAAAAAGATAAAGTGCTTGAAAGATGTATTCAGATGTGCTTCCTCCTGAAGCTGAATCACAGGGTCGAAATGCTGATGATAAATGTGAGCATAAACCCTGAAGAGGCGTTTGAGTATAGTTTTCGCCACAGACATGAAGTTCTTCGGGAATGGGACACCTAGTAAACAGACAGACAACCCCATCTATTAATAAGAGAAAGGAACAAGGCAATATGAGTTTTTCAGCAAATGGCAACATAAATTACCAAGACAAGGCTGAAAAGAAGTATTTATGAACTACCACTTAATATACCCACTGTACTTTTCAGAAGTTCTGAACATATCATGAATAAAAATAAATGTCAAAGCTTCTGAATAAGAACTAGTCTTTCATATAGCCCTTTAAGCCTCCAATACACCAACACTTTACTAAAATGAAACAAATGAACGCCTAAGATGGTAAAACTCACACTCAGATCCTCGGATTTCATAACATCACATCTTAATGCAAATATATGCTGAACACAAAGACTGTATTAATCATGTTCATTTTTGCTTAAAATGCTTGCAATATACTTTTAAATATTTTTCTATGGGCCTGGCCGGCATGGCTCAGTGACTGAGCATTGACCTATGATCCAGGAGATGGAGGTTCGATTCCCGGTCAGGGCACATGTCCGGGTATTGGGCTCAATCCCCAACAGGGGGAGTGCAGGAGGCAGCCCATCAATGACTCTCTCATCATTGATGTGTTTCTCTCTCTCTCTCTCTCCCTCTCCCTTCCTCTCTCTCTGATTCAAAACAAATATATTTAAAAGTATATATATTTTTTTCCTATGGGAATTATTTAATTACTACTCCAGGTCTACATTTATCCTGAAAAATAGCTGTAATCTCTGCTCAATTAGGCTCATTGTTATGAATTACAGCACTTTTACAGCATTAAATAAATACAAAACCAGAATAATACAAAATTCCATATACTTTGTTACTCTTGCTAAATAATCTTGATTGGCAAAACACAAGCCAACACTGGTACTACTGGGTTCAATGTCATCATATTACCTATCACTCAGTAAAATATGATAGGCCACTCCCTCGCCGGGTGGCTCAGTTGATTGGAGCATCGTCCCATACACCAAAAAGGTTGCAGGTTCGATTCCCGGTCAGGGGACATACCTAGCTTGTGGGTTCGATTCACAGGCAGGGTGTGTACCGGAAGCAACCGAATGTTTCTCTCTCACACTGATGTTTCTTTCGCTATCTAAAATCAATAAAAACATATCCTCAAGTGAGGATTAAAATATATACATACATACATACACACACACACATATATTTATATATTATAGGTCACAAGGAAATACAGCACAAACCAAAATAAAGGGAGGCTAAATAAAATAGAATGCCTACACACTTCAAAACTATCACTGTCATTAAAGTCCACAAAAGACTGATATATATATATCCCATATTAAAGGCTAATGAGATATAATTTTGATAATTATACTGTGATTTTCTAAGGAAATATACATTGACGCACATATGGATAAAGGGGCATAATATACACAAGATACTCTCAACTCAAGAAAAAGAAAGAATGAGGGGGAGAAAGAAAATCAATGTGGTAAAATGTTGGCAATGAAAGAACCTGAAGAAAGATATACAGAGATTCTTTGCATATTTCTTGCAAGTTTTCAAAAAGCCTAAAATTGGGTCAAAGTTAGAAGTTAAAAAGTACAGGGTGGGCCAAAAGTAGTTCTTCATATGGAAAATAACATAATAATTAATAATAATACAAAAGTAAACTATGTTTCTCATACTCACAAGTGTAAACCTACTTTTGCCCCATCATGTATACTATGACGGATAAAAGATAAGGTGAGGGCGTTTATTCAAAACCATTATGATATATATAAATAAAGCAGCCTTGAAAAGTAGACCTTTAATTACAAATGCTCCAAAGTAATGAAAGCATTCAATAAATGTGTTTAAAACAATCCATAACAACAACTATTTACATTACTCTCTCCTCCACTATACCCATCCTTCAAAAACTAAAAGCATAAAATATAATAAAAAAGTTTTTTATTATTATTAGAACAAATTCTTAATTTTTTCAGAAAACACATTTATAAGAGTTTGAGAAGGTAAAATCTTATGAACTGTCTAGATGTGAACAACTTCCACTTGAAAGGCTGATCCTTAAGAACAAACAGTAAAGACCCTGGCCAGGTAGCTCAGTTGGTTAGAGCATCAGCCTGATATGCAAAGGTTGCGGGTTCCATCCCCGGTTAGAGCACCTACAAGAAACAACCAATCAATGCATAAATAAGTAGAACAATAAATCGGTGTTTCTCTCTCTTTCCCTCCCTGCCTTCTTCCCCTTCTCACATCAATAAATAAATTTTTTTAAAAAGAATATGAAAAAGCAAAAGTCACTTTTTTGTGACAACAGGCCAACCCCTCAAATCTTGTTTTCTTCTCACCTAGCTTGGTTTCAGAGACTGTAAAATTCACCCTGTGGGTCATAAATTCAAACTCCATCTTTGCCACAAATATAATGTAAAACTGGATGTAAGTTATACACAGTCCTTCCCTAAACAAGAAATGGATATGACTGTTGCAGATGATATTGGCTGCCAACCCAATATCCAGTCTCTTTTGTTTCCATAACACAGGCCAGATTTTGTTACAGTCTGGGGTATGCTGATCTTTTCATTGTTTAAAATATAGGGAGGTTTATCTTTTTGTTTGCTTGTTAATTCTCACCCAAGGATATTTTTTCCACTGAGTTTTAGAGAGAGTGGACGAGAGGGAGGGAGAGAGAGAGAAACAGCAACGTCAGAGAGACACATCGACTGGTTGCCTCCTGCACACACACCCCCATTGGGCCGGGGATCGAACCTGCAACCCAGGTACATGCTCTTGAGTGGGTATGGAATCCGCAACCCTTCAGTGCGCTGGCGAAAGCTCTAACCACTGAGCAACACCAGCCAGGCAAGGAAGGTTTATCTTAATGATCATGATAAATTGGTATGAAAAAGAGAGGATGCTTTAAAATGTGTAATATTAGAACTATTTTGATAAATATGGTAATCTAATATGGTTCCTAGAATAGAGAGAGAATAAGCTCTAAAAGCATATAAAATTAGATAAATCATGATGGATTCCAATCATACAAAACAATTATACCTATTTTTGAAGGAAATAATGTCTCATCATCCAACTGGTCCTGAACCCAAGTCATCAAGTAATCAATATACTTTGGCGCAGAGCACTTAATAGGCTTCTTTATGTTTGTTCCATCTGCCCAATGATACTCGTATCTGCATTGGAAAGATAAAAAGCACAAAGAATATTAATATACAGCTATACATAGTGTGTATATTTTTTATATTACATGCATATATGTGTATTATAAATGTATACAGGACATGTTTTAAACAATCTGTTCCTTCACATAAAGATTTTTGCATTTAGCATTGATTGGCTGGTTGACTGACTGATTTGAGAGAGAGAGAGGAAGGGAGAAAGAAATATCAATTTGTTCCTTATTGGTTGATTCTTGTATGTGTCCTGACTGGAAATCAAACTCGCAACCTTGGCGTAGTATCGGGGTGACGCCTAACCAGAGCCACATTTAGCATTTAATGTTTTCAAATGGCTACTGGACTATTTTGCACTTCTCATGATCCAAACTAAGCAGATCCCAGCAAACTCATTCTTTTGTTTCTATGCTCTCCTCACATTTTAATATTATTATACAACTTTCCTTCATATATAGAATTTATATTTTAGAATCATACACTGCCATAGTAATTTACTTCCCACTTCTATGATGACCATCCCTAACGTTTTTATGGTTGTTTTCTTCCTTGAAAAATATTTCCCCTTATGCAGTACAATTCTTAACAACTAGGGGCTTTAAATTTTGGGTTAAGGACAGAGGAAGGATAGGGGGGATCATTTTTCATTTCTGTAGAATCTTTATGGAGATCCTGTGCCTGTTATGTTTGAAGAATTGGGTGCATGTTCCTATACCAGCTATTTAGATAAGGGTTCTGTGGGGAAAGTGATCAGAGCAGTATTCTAAGTGACAGCAACTTTCCCTAATTCACAGGAATGGGATATTGGTGTAATATCAGAAAACCTTCCAATAAAATACTACTCAATTACAAAGGGGAAGAAAATGACAAATTTGAGGTGAGAAAACCTTGCAGACACTAGCATAAGGTAATCAGGGTTAGTATCACAGAGATGGCATGGTCGACACTGTGTGCCTCCTGATACAATACACTGAGAAAAAAAGGAACATTTCTGTGGGTTCCTGCCAAGAATGCACGGCCTGAATGTGGTGACAAGCAAACATCAGGCATAATGTGTCAGGGGTCCCCAAGTCCACCCCCACATTCAATGATTTACTAAGAGGATTTACAGAACTCAGCATATAGGTGTACTCACAGGTATGATTTATTACAGTGAAAGAACACAAACCAAAATCAGCAAAGGGAAAAGGCAAATGGAGCAACATCTGGAGGAAATCAGAAGCAAGCTTCTATGAGTGCCCTCCCAGTGGAGTCACACAGGCCACCCTTAATTCCTCCATGACTGAGTCATGATAACGCATGCTAAATACTGTCTACCACGGAAGCTCATTAAAGACTTATGTTCAGGTTTTTTATTGGGGAATGGTCAAGGAGGCACCTTCTGCATGACAGATACTAAAATCCAGACTCTCCAGAAGGAAAACAAAAGCCGTTATCATTTGTGCAGTTTAGGCACAGTAAGCCACTCTTAATTGTTAGGGTGGTGGGAACCCTTCAGAAATCCAAGTTCCCAGATGCCACCCAAGGGCCAACCTTGGAGGTACGTCTTTCAAGAGACTGCGTTGCGGTCAGGCCTGCTATGTTAACTCTTTTATGCACAAAGGCCAACACAGCAGAAGGCTAAGGAATGATTGGAGACTGAAGGTACCTAAAGAGATACGTCAAATAAATGCAGCACATATTCGTAGACAGGATCTTGGACCAGAAATGGAAAACTGAAATATTACTGAGACAGCTCACAAAATGTGAATGGTGTCTATGAACTAGAGGAAGTGCTTTGGAGGGTTTATATGCTGGTTGTGTAGAAGAGTATCCTTGCTTTTGGAAAATACAGTTAAATATGTAAGGATAAAGAGGCATAATGTCTAAAACTTGCTCAAAAGGCTCAGAAAAAAATAAATGTTAATGACTATACACAGAGAGAGCAGGTGATGAAGAATGCAGAAAAAGGTTAATAACTGAGGAATCTAGGTAAAAGATATGGGAGTACTTTGTGCTGTTCTGGCAACTTTTCTGTACACTTAAAATTATTTGAAGTTTCAAAGTCTGAAATAGTTTGAAAATAAGTTTTTTCAAAAAAATTACCATAGAAAATAGTCAAAGTATATTATTTTGAACACCTTTGATGACAAAACTGTCAATTCTTTTTAAAAGAATTGATTCTGAGAAACATCTAAACTCATTTAGAGTCAATCTGAGTAATAAAGTAGATGACTCTAACTAAGTAATACTTTATTCAACACGTAAATTTGGTCAATAAATAAATTATGACTATGAAGTAATAAAATTGAATCTCTTGGGTAGCTAGTGATCTGACATTGTAATTTAAAAGTTACCAAAAGTATTCTGAGCAATGAAAGCATCAGCACAATAAGTGATTAGCAATCTAAGGTCACTGCTTATAATAATATTTGTAAGCACTAGTAAGTTTGGACAGCTTGTTTTGTTTTGATATTTATACCTTGTTTATAATTGGGCGGAGAGAACATACTTTATAAAAAGTCAGCACTAAAAATAAAACCTCTCTATATATAGTTTATAAATATCAATTAATATTTCTTATAAGAAAATAATACAATGTAGCAACTAAGAAGCACAGGCACACTAGAGTCAGAGACCTGGATTTCAATCCTGGTTCTGTTTCTGGATAACAGGACCTTGGACATGTTACTTTTCTCAGACTTGATTTCTTTTCCTGTAAAATTAGAACAACAATAGTTTTCTTATCTCATAGGTTTACTTTATAAAGGCCTTACGTTTAGGTAGCAATGAATAAATGGTAGCTGGCATTGTTATTGTCAGCCATAGTAATAATAAAATCCAGTTTCAAAAATTTATTGATCAAAGCAACATTTATTGAGCGGTAACTAGATGGCAGGCACTGACCAAAAGAGATTTAAAAGAACAACAAATCTGACAGGTTAAATAAGACATGTATATATAATATAATTATAACGTAACAAAGAAACATAATCATAAAGATCACATCTAGTCTGAAGAAATCAGAAGGTTTCATGGAGAAGGAAGCACCTGATGTGGGCCTTGAAGATGAGTAAGATTTTTGGAAATGTTAGCAGAAGATAAGAAGGAAATGAGAAGAAAAATATCCAAAAGAAGAACAGGATAAGCAAGTTTTCAGAGTATAAGCAATGGAGGAAATAGCAAGCAAGGCATTTCCCGTTACTGTATCTCGTTTGGATAGACCAGAAGAGAATGTGTCAGTTAACAGAGGAAAGGCAGGATGGAGGACAATACAGGAAGGGTCATATAGCTCAGGCTAACGAATCTGAACTTACTATATTACTCATTGGTAAACCAGTGGAAGTCATGTTAAGTACAGAAATTACATGGTCAGAAACTTTATCTAAGAACTATAAAATAAAGTAAAAATGAGAATGAATCATGAACCACATCTTACTTTGGGCCAGCTGACATGACTGGACAACTTTCCTCTGTACAGAAATCTGTGATTGTTCCATAAAGCATGTTGATCTGATTGAAAAAATCCACAGCTGTAAAACAAATATCAGTGATAAGTAAAATGTTCAATTTCAATTTTACTCAAGCAGAACCTAGAATTTATCAGTGTTTTTTCCAAACATATACAGATTTCCTAGCTTTTTATTATTGATTTCTAGCTAAATTCCACTACGGTCAAAGACTGTAATGTTATATAATTTCAATCATTTCCATTTTTGAAAATGCACACATGTGTAATCTGAGGTGCTTAGGCCATGTGTCCCTCAGGTCAAGTCTATTAATCATGTTGCTCAAATTTTTCAATTCCTTGATTTTTTTCCTCTACACTCTACCCATTGATAAAAGAGGAGTGTTTAAATCTCCCATTATGACTGTGGATTTGTCTATTTCTTCTGTTAGCTCAGTCAGCTGATTTTATTTTATAGATAATATTAAAGACACATAAATTCAGAACATCATATATTCTTTGTGAACCGAATCATTTCTCATTTTAAAATCTTCCTCTTTACTTTTTTTTTGCCCTGAAGTCTACTGTATCTGATATTAACATGACTATATCAGCTTTCTTTAGATTGGTATTTAACTTTTTAGTTTCAACCTACTTTTGCCCCACGCTATATTTGACAAATACTACGTACGGTGACTTGGAGCTTAGCCCCTGTGTGTTCCCTCTTTATTTACAGTCCTAAAATCCCTTTTCATCCCATTAATTACCCATGACCAGCACTTTGTTTTTTTAATTCACACTTTCTAGAGCAAAGTAGAGCAGTAATGAGCATTATACTAAAGTTAATTATACAAGTTTTCCTCTGCCCTCTTACCTCACAAAGAGCCAAGATTTACTAAGTAATGAATCTGCAACTTAGTAATTCTTAAGCTATCCTCCACAAGAAAAGAGGACAACCTATGGCTCTGAAATAAGACAAGTATGAATCCTAACTCCTAGACTTACTAGTTGAGTTAGTTAATATTGCTGAACCTCAGTTTCCTACCTTTAAAACTGGGTTTATTATGGAGCATTAAAATATATATATTTCCAACATTAAGTGGGCATTTAATAAATATTCGTTTCCTTCCACAAACCAAGATATAGCCTCAGAATTTGGTGTCACATAAATTATTTATAAGCCATCCGTCCAGCTTTTTCTAGAACCCTGAACCTTCTTTCTATCTTCTTTAAGCTATCACTCTGCCTAGCAGCAGAATGTTCAAAACTAGGCTCTGGTTTCTGGCTGTGGGACTAGTTGGTGAATTTGTAAAGATTTCCCATCATTTACCATTTATCTTCATCTGACAAGTGAACTAAAGCCAAAAAGCCATTAAGATGCCAATCTTATCAACAAATTCCCTTCACTCTTTTATGTACCCAAAATGTTTATTTAATCACTGTCAGTGAGTGGAAATACCTAGTTTCTAATCATATTCACCTCATCAAGTGTCATTTGGGAAGATTACTATAAATAAGGAAAATTTTAGAATCCAATACTTCAACTTCAGTAGAATGCTGTATTTTCAAGGCAGAATTATCTGTTCTAAGGGGATGTTCTGACAGTCCAATTCAAAGTAATTTTTGTACAGCTGTAATTGCAAAATGCCTGTCAAATTTTAGAAATTCCTGAAGTTCTAGACATTTCAGTGGTACAGACACTCTTCTGGCAATTGAGACAGAAAGAATAAAGACAGAAAATGATGATCTGCTTCTGTATGTACAAGAATCTCATGTAGTACAGGAGCTCTATGCTGCCTTCCTTAGATTTTTAAAATTAGTGAGTTCTCAAGTAAATGGTACAAAAAAGGCACAAACAAGTACAAGAAAGAATATACATATAATCAACTGGAAATTTATTCTATATATTGTCTTTGAAGTGTCACAGACCCATTTTATAGGTAAGATAAGTCTCATCAAAAAAGCAAAAATCACTTTATTTCCTTAGTAATTAAACTCTCTGGATCCAGAAAGATAACCACATTATAATAAATACTGGCTCATATGCAAATATTGTCACAGTACTGTTTTCAGACATCTCAATAAAATCTTTTAGATTCCTAAAAGTTATTAGGAGGTGGCAGCTCAATTTAAAAATCTCATGATATATTTCAAATGACAATAAGATACCATCAAATATTACAAGAAAAATACTGTTTTGTTTTTCCTTGAAGCCTAGACATATAGAATATATTTTTCAATTAAATTGTTTTAATTTTACTAGATTTATACAAAATTGCTCCAATTATTAAATTCTATTAGTTTCTTCACTAATGCTGAAAAACCCTAAAGAGTAAAAGTACCACTTTTATTCTCCAGCTTTCTCTGGCTTAATTCCCAAGAATATATTTACTTTTTACTTATATGTTTTTCTTCCTTGGTGCTAAGAATATCCCATAAACATATTTTACTAATTTCATAAATCACTAGTGAATTGCCTTTTTTTTTAAATAGCAAACTTTAGACAAATAACTGAGTATGCTACTAAAAGAGGCAATTTAGCATAGTGGTTTTAAAGTGTAGTCTCTAAAATTCTACAGCTCTATATTAGAGCTCAGGCTCTGCCATTTAATAGCTATATAACCTAGGCAAATTACTAATCTTTCTGTCTCAGCTCCCTTATGTGTCTTAGACTGGGATAATAATAGTATCTGCATCATGAGATTATAAATACGAATAAAATAATCCACGTAGATAGGATAGCCGAGTGCCAGACAGTGATCCATAAATATTGATTGCTATTACTATTGTTTTTTTCTACTAAAAATGGTAAATCTATGCTTTGTATATCACTATAACAGGAGAGAAGAATTTCTGAATATGGAGTTTTGTGAAATTCTTCTCAAAAGAATTAACATAAAGGCTAAAGTGGATTTAGTTACCACTATTTGTGATATTAGGATGCTAACTAGATCCTAGAATAGTTAGTATCCCAAAACTCACCTATAATGGGACTACTAACCTAATTTAGAATCTACTGAGAAACAGAAAGGCTACTTACTGTTCACTGCAACCCACTCATTTAGATCTTCTCCCTCAGGAAGCATGACAGCCATCCGGAGATTGCCACTGCCAAGTGTGGCTTCTGCATGCTTTAAGAGCTCATACTGGTGAGAACCCTCTGGTATGTTCTTCTTTGGTTTAAACGTTTTAGAGGAGCGACTACCACTACGAATAAACAAGAAAAGGCACTTCAATATTTAATCATGACTTTCAACACAGGCAACTACACTATATTACTGGATAAAATAACACAGAGGTGATCCTAAAAGTCTACAAATAAACAGCTCTTAACTATATTGGCTACATTGTATCATTTTAAATCAATAAAACACAAAAATCCTAGAGCAAGAAAGAAAAGCTGTATGTTCTTCTATCCAATTATAGGAAGCATCAGCAATCTTAACCCAGAATTCTAGGTGTCCAGATAAGTAACTAGACATTAATATGATTAGTCTGCTCAAATTTCATATGCATTTTTTAAATGAAATTAGTCTTACAAATGATGTTAAGAGTTTTTAAGAGATGGATTTTTCTGTTAATGCTGGAAAGTTCTTATCAAATTATATTATATCCTACTCATCCTTTCTCAATACTCCATTTCTCTCTTCATATGAAAAGGAAAGGAAAAAAAAGAATGAATTTAGAGTCTAGGTTAGAGCTACATAAAGTTTAATGTTATTAATTTCATACCACCGAAACATCTCGGTATTTGAAAATATGGGTATGAAAGTGTAATTCCAAAAGGGAGAGATAAATAATAATTAAATTTTCCAAGCTCTCCATAGCTTTCCACTTACTACTCTCTTCTCCCAAACTTAACTCCAAGATCTCTCCTTTGCTCCCCAAGATAAAGTGGTAGTTCTCTACCCTGGCCGCATATTATTTTAATAACCTGAGGAGCTTTTAGAAAGTTTTGAGGATCTGGGATAACCTAAGATCTACCAGCCAACCCAAATATCTAATTCAAATGACAGGTATTTTTCATTCTAAAGAAATGGCATTCTCATTTAAATATGAGTCTCTGCTCAGGTGTTTAAAAGTAAATTGATGCTCCTCAACTCTACCACTAAGAAAGAGCCAAGGTATCTCTTTAAAACACTGATCAGATAATGTTACTCCTCTGCTTAAAACAACTCAGTCGTTTTCCAGTGTACTCAGAGTAAATCCAAAAGCCAAATATTAGACACAGTCAGGCTCTGACCACGCTCGAGTGTGGAAAGTCTTCTTCAGTTTAATCAGATACTGCATTAAACATCAAAGTTCTCAGCATGGAAAAGATCATTACGATTACAGAGATTGAGGCTTATTTCATTTTCCTGCTTCTTCACATTTACCAAAATTTAGCATGAGAAACACATTTCACCAACACTTTTTACAAAAAGACATTTTACTAATTTATGTGTGATTAATTACAAAAATAACTCTTATGACTAATCTGTGCATGTCTTCAGGCAGGATGTAAATTAAGTAGATTCCCTTTAATTGCCCATAGCTCAGACGGATGCAGCAACTGAAGATGTGACAAGATGCTCTGAAAAGGGATGGCCGAGTACATGAGAACCACAAGGGGATCAGCTGTGTCTGCACTCAGGAGGGTCAGAGCCTCATCTGCCCCCAAAACCATCGACTTATTGAACCACTATTCCCTGAAGTTTTAGGCTTCCAAATGTCTTCTTGATTGGTGTCCCACCCAGAACTGGTTTCCACAAAGCGAAGTAAATCTACTTCATAAGACCTTATGCTTGGGTAGAAAGAAAAAAATGCAGGACTTATCAGCTATGTTATCTCAGGCAAATTACTCAACTTTCCTTGAACCTATTTTTTTCTTTAAAAGTGAAAGCCAAACAAAACTAACAAAACATCACCACTACCTACATCATAGTTCAACTGTAAAATGAGAAAACAGTATTTGTAAAAAAGCTTTTAAAACTGTAAAATGCTGTGCAAATGTTAATATTTTCATTATGCTTCCTTTTCCTAAACCAGAATGACTCATAGTAAAAAGAAATGGTAGTGCATAATTGCCAAAGCTTTCTTTCAATGTCCATTCCCACCTTCATCTCCTAAGACTGGATGCAGAAAAAAAAAACCTTACTTTGGAAACAAATGCTTTTACCCATCAAGTTCAAAACAGAATTGAAAAAAGAAAGAAGTTTTGTTTTTTGTAGCTATATCCATATTAAGATTCAGGTGATCTTAGAATAATTGTGGGACTAGACTGGAAATCAGGAAAACAAGGTTCTATTCATTTTGCTGTTTTCTTCTTATGTTATGTAGGAAACCACAAATTGTCATCTGGGCTTCAATTTCTTTGTTTTTGAAAGCCTGGAAAATAACTTTTTACAAAAGGGTATAATTTAGAGATGAGATAATGTTTATGTTTTTAGTTCCCTGCGGACTTTCTACTCCCCTCTCTGTTCTTCCTTTCTTCTCTGTTTCTCATTTCCATGTACATTCATACTTTGAAAATGCTTTCTACCAGAAAGTATGCTGCCCTTCCACTCACCTATTGCAGAAGAAATCTGTGTATCAGAAGATCTCAGAAGAAATATCTGTGTACCCTTCCAGAGTCTATGTCTATACAAGCATAAGAATGCTGTGCCTGTTTCTGTTTTTGCACAATTGTGGCATACTAAGCATACTAAATATTATTTTTTACTTAATATATCCAGGAGATTGTTTTATATTAAGGTAGAAGTAGATATACTTTATTCTTTTTAAGGATTTAATAGTATTTCCTTATATAGATCGATATTTTAATCAGTCACCTATTGATAAACATTTAGGTTGTTTCTAGTCATTTGTTGCTATAAACAATGGTGCAGTAAATATCCTTGTGCATAAGCATATATAAAGGATAGATTCCTAGAAGTAAAAATTGTGTAAAAGGGCATGTACATTTAAAAATTTTATATCAGGCCTATTTTCCCCCAAATAAATAGTCCCCTGTATAACCCCATTAACGGTGTATGTGAGTAGCTATACACTTTTTGGTCTTAGAAAATAGGGATTCAATCGCTAACTTCTCTTGGACGGCTCCCAAGACAATATCACAACTACATGAGAATTCAGAGCTTTTGATTAGAATGTGAGTGATATATTACATATAACGGGTGTTGTATTGATCATTCATAGTCTTTTCTAATTCATAGTCAAATCTAGAATTGATTTGTTTTCCCCAGTACTCTTATTCATAGTTGAAACCCAATCAATTTCTAGAGCAACAGAGTGGTATGACAAATAACTGAGCCCTAAGGGAAAACTCTAAGCACACATCCCTTGAAACTAGCCATCCAACTGATCTAACTTTTATAAATTTCAACAGCATCATTTTTTCCTCTTTGAGACCCTCAAGAATAGATTAGGCCCCATAATGACACCTAGGTTAACTCCTATAAGCTAGTTCTTACCATCTCAACACTGTCATATCCATCATTGTCCCTACTTTTAACCCTGTATTTTCAATAACTATCAACGAAGTTGGTATTTTCTAAGTTGGACTAGAGAATCTTAAGGCTGAAGGAATTGGGGGGTGGGAGAAACTTATAGAGGATTCCAAAGGGGGCTCTAGTAAGGGTTAGTAGAATAGAATAGTGTCTGAATGTATATTCTGACACTAAAGAACGTGCCAATATATTCAAAATTACAAGCAAATTAACATCAATTTATTTGAGTCAATAGCTCTATTCCTTCAAGGTTAAGCAAACTGCTCTGACCACACAGCTAGTTAAATGGCAGAAGTAGAATTCAACAACAATCCATTATCTTGAACAAGTTACATAATATTACCAATCCTCAGCTTCCTCATCAATAAAATGGGAATAATAATAGCTACCTTACTATTAAATCCTGTGGTAAGAACTCATCTAATATTAGTTATCTTTGCTCCACATCTAGGTACCAACCTATCATTCACATCCATAGCATCTTCCATAGGTCTAAAGTCCAATACTAGAGATCAGGTACTTGATATTTATTAATTGATAGTTATAATCAACTTCAGGCTGAAACTCCTAATCAGGATAGTAATGACAATGTTTAATATTAACTAGTATTTACTGTGGGCTTTGTACTCAGAAGTATTTTACATGCAATGTCTTATTTAATCCTCATAACTTTACAATGTATATGCTATTATTTTATTTCATGAGTAACAAAATTGAGGCTCTATTCACTTCAATAAACTACTCAAGATTAGAAAAGTGGTAAGTAAGCCAGAATTTAAATCTAGGTTTTAAATTTTTAAAGCCCATTCTTTTATCCATTCCCCAACACTACATGTTTGCCTTTATCTTCTTTCCAATTATTTGGAACAATTTTCTTTCTATAACACCACAGTTTAATCAAGTTACTTATGAAACAATACAAGTCTAATTTATACTGAGTTATTAGTAGGCACATTTTAAAAACAATCTTCAAACTACCTAATTCCATTTCCTCTCCTCACATCTTTTCTAATTTAGATAAATACTTAGTACTGCCATTAAGGAAAAATAAAATTTCACCAAGACAGAAAGTAGACTAGTTGTTGTCAGGGGCTAGAGAGGGAGAAATGAAGAATGACTACTAATGACTACTACTACACAAGGCTTCTTTGAGGGGTGATGACAATGTTCTGGAATTAGTCATGATGGTGACACAACTTTGTGACTACAATAAAATCCACTCAATTTTACACTTTAAAGGATGATTTTTATGGTATGTGAATTTTTATGGTATAGTTCAATTAAACAAATTTTTAACTCTTTACTATTAAAAAAATAAGTAGTTTCCTAATAGTGCTCCTTACCATCTCAATAAGTCATCTTCTTTCATCCATTTATTCACTCTTACATTCCTTGATCCAACTAATATATTCTGACAACCTTCTATATTCTAAGTAGTTGTCCTAAACTCTGGGCAAGTCACAGCTCAGGACAAGAGATAAGATCCCTACTCTCATGGTAGGGAGAGGAGACAAACGAAAAATCAACTAAACTCTAACAGGCCCCACAAGACTTGCAACTAGGGGAGCAATGGGCAGTGGCCGCTCATCCCAGGCTTACTCCCCCGAACCTGCTCTCAAGGCCCATTTTTCTGACTTTCCAGTGAGTTGACAGCAGCCGCACCTTGGCTCACTTCTTTCCCATAATGTTTCTAGAGTGCCAAAGCAGCCCCACCTATGCTCTCTCCTATTCTAGACTTCTTCTACCCTAAGCCCTTCCTTTTTTCACTGTACCCAGCTTTAATAAATGTACTCTCAAAATCAAAATAAATAAATAAATAAAAATAAACAAAAAACTATTGAGTAGAGCTAAGTGCTATGATGAAGATAACAGAATGATGTGACAAATGCACTATATTAGATTAGGTGGTTAGAGATGCTTCCCCAATGCCAGAACGCCAAGAAGGAGCCAACCATGGGAAGATCTGGAGAAGAGGGAAGAGTATTCCAGGCTTACAGGCTAAACCAGTGCCGAAGCAAGTTCTTTAGTAGTTGTTGTATAAAGGTAACTCTGACAGGGCATCATGAACAATGGGAATAGTGGTATAAGAAGAAATCAGAAAGGCTGGTAGAACCATATCAGCTAAGATTTTAGAAGCCAAAGTACGGAATCTAGATTATCATTTTAAGAATAAATGGGAAGCTATTGGAGATTTTTTAAAAACCAAAAGTAGTAACATCATTCTAGTTGCCGTGCAGAGAATGGACTGGGAGGCTGCCAAAAGAGTAAAGAGAGAAGCCAGTTAGAAAACTACAACAAAGAAGAGAGAATGATGGCTTGGACTTGTGGGGATGAAAAAATGAAGGCAGATTCCAATATTTATTTGTAGGCAGTGCCAGCAGGACTCACTATTGGATATCATGATTTGTGGAGAGTGGTGAAGACAGAATCAAGGATGACTCCTAGGTTTTTAGTCTCAAGTAGGTAGAAAATGGACTCTTTAATTGAGACAGGCCTGGGAAGATGAGTTTTGAACATATTAACTTGAGATACCTATCAGACATCCAAACAGATACCTTAGGTAAGCAGTTGTATATACAAGTCTCAGCTCAGAGGAAAGATTAGACCGAAGGAAACTAATAAAGTTGGTATCCTCACTGGTTAGCATAGTGCTAAAAGATACACTAGTATTTTAAAAAGTATTTTATAAGCTATGAGAAGTCCTACAGTAAAACAACTGTTTATGGTTAGCTTCCCAAACATCTTTAGTCATGGAAACTTTTCTTCCACATTTTAACATCTTGCTCTTCAACACATATTAGGGAGATCAAACTGCTCTAGTACATCAAACTGCTAACTGGGTTGCCTCTCAATTTACAGTATGTTCATAATACTTCAGTTTTATAAAGTATAACTCAGTGACTTTATACAAGAGCAGATAGAGGGCTAGCCAATTCCCTATTTATTTAACACCCCATAAAATTTTATAACCTAATCCCTAGAAAATAATAAACCACTTCACATGCAAAGGCCAATTAGTTTCTACCTCTATGAAGTTATCTGAGGAATTATCTCAGCTACAGATGAAGGCACTAAAGTTTAATCACTCATCTCCAATCACCTTCTGAGTTTTTGAGTCCTGTATAGGCTGCAGTTTCCTTTGGCCAGCACTAAATTCATTATTCCAGACAGCAAACAGGTACTGAAACCACAGGCAATTTTAAGAAGTGCCCATAGTCAAACGTCTGAGTAATTTCCATGCAACAGCAGTAACTCCATTTTCAAAATCTTATCAATGTGCTGGACTGTTAAAAGGAGCAAACCAAAACTCACATACGCAGAGTTCAGAATGAGCATGAACCTAGCAAATGAACTGGCAGTAATTCCAAATATACCAATATTTCAAGCAAGTAACATCTAAAGAGCTTAAACATAACTTTTTATAAAAATTTTTCCTAACCTTCCATGAAAAACTGTCCATCCTCTCTTATGTGGTTTAAAGCACCTGTAACACTTTATGTGTTTATTTATGTGTGTGTTCTCTTTCAGACAGCACTTCAAAATGAGTGGCTGTGTCTGTCATCTTCATTTTGTAGTTCCATTCCCTAATATCGTGGCTGGCATATAGCAGAGGAAAGGGCACGGGACATGGAGTAAAGACCCAATTTCAGATCCTGTCTTTGTACCTTACTAGTTATGAAATCTTGGACAAATTTTAATAACTTGTCTAAGCTTACAACTAAAAAATTGGAGATATCACCATTTTTGCAGGACCATTATGAAAATTCAAGAATAAATTTAAAGCACCTTAATTTTGAGGTAGCTTTCACACAGCAAATGTGCACTATATGAAATGATAGCTTCAAAATGTTCAATCAATGAATGACTATACATATGTGGACTTTTACATGCAGGTGTATGTATAAATAAAGCACCAATCCTCACTTTATCCCTGTATTAGTTCATTCAGGCTGCTATGAGAAAAATACCACAGACTGGGTGGCTTATAAACAACAGAAATGTACTTCTCACAGTTTCGGGGACTTGAAGTCTAAGATCAGGGTGCTAGCTTTGTTGGGTACTAATGAAGGCCCTCATCCAGGTTACTGACTCTGATGAGGAAGAAAAATCTAAAAACTGACCAGTACAATATCTTTTGATAAGGGCTATAATAATGACTACAGAGGACATTAAAATGGTATCTAACAAATTGGAAAGGGGGCACAGGTCAGGGAAAGAGTTGTCTCCAGAACTAAAGAAATGAGGGTGGGGGACAGGGGGAAGATGGTGGCCCTGTAACAAGAAGCAGAGCACCCTTGCTCCCAGCCACGGACTCGATTTACCACTAAGATATTGCATAACCAGCTTGGAAAAACTAGAGAAATATATCTGAGTGGACATATTTCAAGCAGGGAACACTGAAGAAACATCATATAGTCTGGTAAGGGTGGGGGGTGTAGAAAGGGGGAGTCCCCCGTGAAGCCTGCACTGGGCTCTGAGGCCCTAGGCTTGGAGGCTACAAAGCTCCCTCCGCTTGGAAGTGTAAACGGGCATCCAAAAGCTGGAATTTCAAACCCAGAGCAGAGAAGGGAAGGAGAGACCCACGCGGAGGGCAGAGGAACCCAGGGGAACAGTGTGCCCTCGAGGAGGGGACCGTGCCTTCCTAGTGAAACAAAGCTTCTAATGGTGGCTGCGACAGACGTCTTTCACACCCGGTGCTGACCACAGGAAAGGCTGTCCCACAGTGTGTGGTTCCCAAACAGAAAGGGGCCAGAGGGCTGCACTGAGCAGCCACATACAGGGACCATCTGCCTTCCTGTAAGGCATTGTGTAGAATCCCAGAAAGTATCTGATCTGTGTGGCTCCGGGAAGGGGAAGAGAGCCCTACTGCCAACAGAATTGGACTGGAGCTGCCTGTGGGATGGGTCAGGTCTCCAGCCACCTGAGCTTCTGGTGGGGTGATTCTGGGTTTTACCCTCCCTGAGGGGTGAGCTGCCCCAGCTTACTGAGATCAGCTGTGCAGGGAAGTTGCCTGGGGCTGACTTTGTGACCCCTTCAGCTTGGCACCTAGGAACGGGGGCAGCGGAACCTTGCAGGGCAGATTCTGTGCTTGTGTGCTGCTTTGTGAGTTTTTGATCACTGAACGAGTGTCCACCTTGCTGGCATGCATTGGGCAGACAGACCAGCGAAAGCTGGGATTTATGTTGGCATTGTGAAGAGTTAGAAATTAATGGGCCCATGCTATCAGCCAACCAGATCTGGGAAAGAAGGGGCAGAGCACTCCTACCTCTCCTGCAGCCTGGGAGCACCCCCTCAACAGAAAAGGGGCTTGTCCAGCTCACTGAAGCCCCAGATATCCCCTGCACGGCACAGTCCTGAAGGGGAAGGGAGAACAGTTCACAGGAGGACATTACAAGAATAAGACTCTCAGGGACTGTTGTTTGGGAACTGGAGGAAACGCTGAAAACCCCTGCTGGGGGCTGGGCAGGCAAAGGGCTCACCAGAAGGTTTTTTCATTGAACCCACTGAGCCCAGGCTGCTGAAACTGCAAATACAGAAAAGGCAACAGACTGAAGTCAATCTGAAACTGCAGCAGGCCAGTGTGTGGGGAACTAGAATCAGAGGACAGGGTAGGGACTGAGGAGCTGGCCGTGGAGCAGAGACTAACTTCCTCACAGTGAGCGCCTGACAGCGACACCTCTAAGCAAGGGGAGTGATGCCCTGAGCTACACTAGCCACCCTGCACCTAAAGACTCTGCAGAAGACTCTGGAGCAAGACCAGGCAACCACAAGGGGAAGGCAAAATAGCTGACAAGAGGAGGGGGTCCACAGAGAGCCTCAGATCAATCAACTACCTAAAGACACCAGAGCCAAACCTAGACAGCTCCTGACATTGGCTGATACACAAGCACCTCCCAGAACAGAAATCAGCACACAAAACAGTGAGCCTCAGACAACATGAGCTGCCCAGAAGAAACTCACCTGATTTGACTTTTCTTTCCCCTTAGAAAAAAGAGAGAAAAGAAAAAAAATTTTCTTTTAAATTTTTAAAATTTTTTAATTAATTTGTTTTGCCTTGCTTTTTTTTTTTTTTCCTTCTTTTTTTCCTTTGTCTTTTGTTCTAGTATCAAGACTTTCTTGACATTCTCTGCTTAATTGCTGGGACATTATCATTACAATAAGTTTACTGCTTTTCTCTATTGTTTCCCCCATATCTCTTATTGGACTCCCTCCCTGCCCTTGCTTTATATCTCTCTCTCTTCTCATTCCATTGGCATAACTTGTTTTTTCTTTCTTTTTCTCCTTTCTTTCTTCCTGTCTTTTTGTTTTATTGTTTGTTTCTATTTGTCTCTTTATTGTATTTTTATGTTTTCATTTTCAACTATTTTCCTATTCCTACGCTCTATCCTTAATTTTTTGCTCGCCCTTCTTTCAGAATCTTTTCTCTGCCCCTTTTATCTCCCAGTAGCTTCTCTATTTTTTACTTTTTATTTTAGTTTATTACTATTTTTCTTCTATTTTTCGTTACTATAGCATTTGTGTTCTCACTTCACTCTCCCAATTCTACTTTCACTCGGGATGTTTTCATTGTGATTGTCAAGATATTTTATAAGATACTGCTTGTTTGGTTTTGTATTGTCTTGCCTTGCCAGCACCCGTACAACAGCTCAAAGTGGTTGGGGCTGAGACACACAGTTAGCC